GTGGCCTGCACCCTAGTAGCGACGGCCTCCAACCTACTAGCTTCTTGTTCCTAGTAGTGCCGCAATGCCCTTGTTGTGGAGTGAGCAGATTTGCAGCAGAGGATCTGCTCCACGGTTGCGCCCATCAGCGCACCATACACAGCTGCAGACGCAATGGCACCTGATTCTGGGGCATGTGCGTGGCCCTGCTTTTTTTTCCGTGCTCTCCCTCACAGCACATGACCGCGAAGGTTCGCACGGTCGACAGAGGAACAAACAAACCCTCCAATAAACCACCAAGATCTTGCAGGCAAGGGGCCGTGAACGACATGATCGATCTTGTAGCCTCAAGTGACTCAAGGTGTGGAACACCCACAGTTCATAAAGAATCAACAAAACGAAAAACAAGGACAATGAACAATGGGAGCCGACTTCCAATGGTCCTCTTGAGAGTCTTGGCTTGCAACTCAACAGTGTCCAATCACGCACGTCATTCAGGGCATACAAAAAGCCCATGGATGCACCAAAATCTCACTGGATGAATCTTGTCATGCCATAAATAAAATCCGGAAAACCCCAAGATGTAATACACATCACTAATAACATATTCAGCATCTTATTTGGCAAATGCCCACCCGAGCCGTTCCAGCATCCAAAAGCACCCAAAGAAGGTAGTATCGCTACTAGGGGAGCAACAAGAAGCTGCTAGGGGCTCCAGGCATCGCTACTAGGAACAAGAAGCTACTAGTAACAAGTGCATCGCTTCTAGTAACAAGTGCCTTACTAGTAGTAACAAGAAGCTATTAGAAACAAGTGCCACGCTAGTAGTAACAGGTGCCTTACTAGTAGTAACAAGAAGCTACAAGTGCCTTACTTGCAGTGAGACGGAGCCCACGAGACCGTTCCAGCACGACTGGCACCAGGCGGCTCTTCAGGCTGAAGACCTAGGCACGAAACCGGCGTTCTTTCAGCTTCAAATCAATGTGTTCATATCTAGACTCCTAGGACTCCTAGGACTCCTAGACAAATGAACGTAGTGGTTCAACACATTCCTTCTTGGTGAGCCAGCTCTGAGAAGGTCACTCAATCTACAACCTGACACATGTGTGCGTGTGTGGCGCGCTGAGAGGGTGCCATTTGGCAGTCCCTGCCAAACGGCGGCCCTGGCCTCAGCCAATCGTCCACGGATCTCATCCAAGGCGATCATCGCCAACAATGCTTTCTTGCCATCAACCTGCCCCGTGACCTGCAAGCCGTTCATGTGCACAGGCGCGGTGCAGCCACTGCGCGTTCGGCTGCGGGAGCTGACAGAAAACACAAGGCAACGAATGCCAAAGCGAACGGATAACATCTTGCACGCTCGTTCGCTCTCTCCTCCTTCCCCCTCCCTCTTGTACAAACCTGGGGCTGCTGCAAGCTGCTATGCATGGGTTGTTGTTCTCACCTTATGTTCCCTTGGTGTGTCCTTGTATTGCTGAGCTCCACTAGCTTTCTGAGATCAAGACTCTGCCTGATGAATGCCGTGTGTATTATTGAAGCTCCCCTGGACATGTCCGGAACATTGCTCCGTTATATAAAAATCATAAAAAATGCAGCTGCAAGCTTTGTCGCGATCGTTGCATTCAACCCGTAGACTCTACAGCCTCGACTCGTTTGACAAACGTTTGTGGCTCAGTGTGCTTGTGAGCCAAGATGTGGAAGCTCCCTCATGCTGAGAGTGAAACCTGTGTCGTTACACCTCCCTCTCTCTCCCATGTCAGTCTGGCTTTGGCATGTGCATATAGTAATAGATCGGCATGATACGTATACCGTATACCCCATTGCTATTCAATTATATACATTTACATCATCTGCGCCTGTGCTGCGGCCATCACCACAGGGTAAAAGTCATTGTGGCCAAACTCACCTGGCTCACACATATGTCTGTTGCCAAAAGCGAGAGAAAAAAGAAGGTCTGTCCACAAGACGGCCTGCATCATGCCCAGGAATACTGGGGTTGAATCCAAAGACTGTTCCATTGGAGTCCCACTCTCTCACCTTGGCTTGCAACTTCTCCACATCCTTCCTCCATAGACTTAAGCTGCATACTCAATACTCAATGCAAGGGTAGGGCACACTGGCAGGCCCAAGCCCTTTAATTTATCGTTTCAAACCACCCTCGTTGCCCAGGATTGCATGATTGCCCCGCGCTGCATGGCTGCATCAAGGATACTGCAGAAGCATTCGCCGCGATCACTTTTTCTGGAGCACATCTGGCCTTGAGGGACAGACAAGTGAAAGCTGACCCTGGACGAACCGACATGTGCTTCTGTGCCGCACGAAAATCACCAAAGCTAGCTGCGTGCTTCGTCAAGCGGCGCTGCTGCCAAAGACCGTGGCTCCCTTGGGGTCACTGTAGGTCAAAGCTTCCTCACGAAGGATTGTGGGGGCGTTGGTCTTGAGCGCCAACGCTGAGATGCCGCACATGACCTGAGATGCGCCAACGCTGATTTTCTCTTGTTCGATTCTTTTAGCTTGAAGTCTACAAGATAATACAAGCAATGTTAATCATGTGAATGACCAGTGCTGAACCCTGATGCTGACTACTGAATCTCTGATAGCATGAATCGAAGGCAGTTGTAGGTCACAAACCGAATTGAAGTCACAGTCCGAGCCCTACTTACTAGTACGAGTACAGCAAGCAACATCCTGCGAATTCAGTGCAGCTCCAATCCATGTTCTTCAGGCTCATATGTAATGTATGTCACGGTGCTGCATGATCAAGTCATGTATATATAATATAAATAGGCTTGGAACGCTTGCAAAGCAAATAGCTGCAAAGGGGCGGAGTCTGTGTGAAACATCTCCACCCGCTCATAGACAGAAGCGTCGACATTGTCGCCAAACTTACCGTCCAAAAGGTCCTGTCAAGAAGGATTGATCATAAATGTTCATACTTACACTTGAGTTGGCTCCAGAACTGCACATTGAAAGTGTTCCTGCATTCTTGTTGCAATTCTTGCTATGTATGCAGCGTTGTTGAAAAAGAGTTTGATAGGCGGATGCAGCTGAAAAGAACTATATACTGTATCAGCAATGTCCGGATTTCTGTTGAACCCACTGGTGAGTAGTGAATGAAGGAAAGATTGGTCGGGAAGGTGCAATGCCATCCACCCACTCCATCTGAGGACATGAAGGAGGATGCATTTTAGACTACAGTATTCTGCGGTCTTAAGCTCTTGGACTGTTGCTGTTGTCGGAGCATGTCTGAGAGTGCTCCATGGTGACGACCTTCCAACATTGAATGGTTCCATTGAAACATTCAGCTGACGCTTCGTCCAAGAAACTGGTCTCGAATCCGACATGACCTGACCGGGCCGCTTGGGCTTCCTGAACGGGTTTTTCTCTGCGAAAGGCTTGCATCAGCGACTTTCCAAATGCAAGCAGCATCATCCCCGGATACTCTTGGTACTTTGCCAAAAGGGCTTTGCCTTTTGACATCAATTTCAAGGCAGCTGGTCGTGGCCCATGGCCTATTGATCGGCCAAAGGCGTCGTGGCCTCATTTTCTTTAAAGGCATTTTCTGCAGCACTCTTCATATCCGTCCGGAGTAGTGGCAACATGTAGAGGACGAACAGCAAAGCATATCCAAGGCCAATACCCAAGTAGACATTCTGCAAAGTCCTTCCAAAAAAGTAGAATAGCAGCAAGACACCAGGCAGCTGCCCCCCCCAGGAACCAATGAGGGCAGCCTTGAAAACGGTATCGGTCTTCTTCAAAGCAATCAGGAGGCTTTCGAAATGCATTGAGAAGCACATGAAGAAAATCATGAGTCCCATCTCATGTCGGCATTCTTCGAACAGGTCTATGACCTCAGGATCACTGCTGAATATGGATGCCAATTGCCTGACATATACTAGGGTTGCAAAGGTTGTTACGGACAGAAAGGCCCCCACGCTTCCAATACCGAGATCTCTGATCTTACTTGATAAATGCCCATCACCCGTACCAAGAGCAATGCCCAACTGGGTCACAGTGGCGCTACTAAAGGAGCCAATGACGGTCAAATTCATCCATGCCAGGCGGTAGCTGGCATTGAAGACTGCAACCTCCCGGCCGCCCAGTGTTCCGGCGAGCAGGCCAATTGCAGACATGCGCCAGAAGTCAGACGCCAACGCCAAAGTGGCAGGGATCACCAGGCGGACATAAGACCACACTTTCGGGTGGATGTTGTTGTCATAGTACGCGAAGCGGCCTGAGCCATCCGTGAAAACGGGAGCCACAAAGACATCCCGGAGATAATTCCACTCCTGCAGCTTCGGTCCGTAGCATTTTTCATGGTACTTGAAGTAGCCACAGTAGACCACAAGTAGTACAGCTGCCACAAACCACTCCACAAGACTGGTCACAATCGGACATGCCCAGAAGCCAAAGTGCAGGCCTGAAAAAGGAATCCCAAGAACGAATTGCAAGCCTAAAACCAAGTTCAGGATCAAGGCCAGTGGTGTTGTCCTTGAACTGGGTCCCGTGATCTTTTGAGAAGTGAAGAAGCTAGTCAACCTCCCTGAGAGCATTGTGGCAGGTAAGCAGCAAGCCATCACCATAGCATAGTACCCGGCGTCATGTGCAGTTTGGGCATCAACATTGACCAGGATTCGCAGAGCTGGCCCTGTCAAGAGCCAAAGCATGACGACAGGAATCAACACCCAGGAGAAGAGTGTTAGTGAAACCTGAAGCCAAATACCAACAAGGTCGTAATTCTTGGCTCCAAGCGCTTGTCCGCAAAGAGACCCCAGCAACGAGTCATTGACAAAGACTCCACTCATAGATGTCCAAAAGTCGGATAAGGATGATGCTGTGAGAAATTGGGTCCCAGCATGCCCCAAGAGAGCCGTGTCAGTGGTTTTCATGCCAATCCATGCCAAGCGCGCCACCAAGGTAGGCACAAAAAGAAGAAACATAGAGGCGTAAATCTGCGACAGGCTGGAAGTGCCACTGAGATCATTCACAGTTGACCTCCTGCGGGCCAACTTCGGTGCAATCTGGCCCAGCTTGGGGGGCTCTACTCCCTGTGGCATGGCGGGAAAGCTAAAGAATTGACATTGCGCTGGTCTGTCTGCCCTTGGGCCATACTAGCCGTGATGTTGTTCAAACTCGAGGCGCGCGGCACTAATGCGACAGGAAAAAAGGTCGGGTCGACCTGGTATTACTAGGTTGGAGGATGTTGGAGGCCATCGCTTCGTTGGAGGCCATCGCTTCTAGGTGGAGGCCGTTGCTACTAGGTAAGAATCGCTCTAGGTAAGAAGCGTTAAGGAGTACAAAGGTCCCTGTGCCGTGCCTCGAAACAAGCACTATTTCTGGGCTCTCGGGCTCTCGGCCACGACCCTTGACACCCCACCCCACCTTCGCATACTGGCCAATGCCCTGCGCTTGGTTCGAATCTGCCGGTAGCTTCACTGCCTGGCTTCAAGCAATGAACAACTCACAATCTGATTACAGTAAGGCAGTGTCCCCATTTTATGCCAACATCTTGATTGCATTTCTTACTAAGCAATCGCAATCCGCATCTATCCGCTATTTTGCATCTCCTGCGGCGATCTAGCCACCTGATCTCAGTGCAACACCGCAATAGACCATGTTAAGAATCCTCGTGTGATAGCAACAGCTCCGCAGTCTCGCTGGTGCAAAAGGACTTCGGACTTCGCTGCCGAGATGCTGAAAAATGACGGGCATGCCGCGCGTGTGGCCGCAAAGAAGCGATTGTGCGCGAGATCATTTGCCTCAGACGTTGCGTGCCATACACCCTGAGATTGTGTAGCCACCCTGCACATACACCGACAGGGCAGTTGTGAAACCACGTTTTGTTATGTGACGACTGCTGTCACTCAATCTTTGCCAAGGAAAAGACGACTACTTCGAGCAAGCAATAAGGGGCCAGCGAGGGTTTGAGATACGTGGCTGGACCAAAAGCACAAAGAGGGTATGAAATCTGCCAACCAGCAATGCGCGGCAATAAGGATTGACTCTTCTTATCTTTGTAACAGATCGCTACTAGTAACTCTAAGGGAACCACTAGCAAAGGGAGGTGGTGCCCTAAAGGAAACTAGACGCAAGCAAATGCAAGCATGAAGCGTCTTTCTGCGAAAGCGGAAGCTTGGCTCGGGCCCTACCGCAAAAGAGACATGAGTCAATGCAGCTCAGTACATGCTAACTTTCACACTCGTGTGTTTTCTTTTGACTCATGACTCTCGCGGATCTGAACTAAAGGCCGCTGCAACCAGTCGAGGAGTTCATCTCGAAGATCTCGACTGATTTTGGTCAACGAATCTGCTCGTTGAAGGCCTGTAGGCACCCAATGGATGGTGTGCCTGTCAACAACTTCTTGTACGCTGCGAATGTTCACCAATGAACGTTTGTCCTCAACCGTAGGGTTCTGTGAGGACACTGAGTCAAAAAGTGATTTGCAGTCGAGCGGCAGATCCTTTTGCTTCTTGAGGACTTCCAGTCAACGACCCCTCCAAGGCAAGCCTTCTCTGTCACCGTGGCCGGTGTAAGGAGGAGAAGTCGTCCATGTTGGCTGGCGCTTCCCTGAGCGGAGCGTTAGCCCAGGAGGCATCAGAGTAGGCCAACACCGTTGTAGTCCTGTCGATGGGGACAGGATACAGGCGTAGACCGAGGTGTTTGGTGGCCTTGACATGCTCGAGCTGTTGATACAAACAGTCCAGGTCAGCATACGTGGTCTCTTGGCCACGATTTGAAAGTGAAATGGCACTTGCAATGTCCAACCTGCTCTGTCCTGACAACCATTGTAAACACCCACTTATGGACCTAAACTCTGGCCAATGATGCGCTGCCAAAACATCTGTTTTCTTGTAGCGACTGCCAATGTGACCTGACTCCAAACTCTCAATGAAAGTTTCCTGCACAATCCTGAGGGTCTGGATGTCGCCAGTCCGTTCGAGATGCAGCTCTTTGCCCTTGAAAATGAGAGGTTTTCCAATTTCCAAAACCTGTTCTGCACCCCATTTGAAGGCATTCAAAAACTGATCGAAGGGGAAGCTGTCGTTGAAGGTGATGAGAAAATCATCAACGTAACAAATCAGAACAGCTGAAGGTGCCGGTGGGTTCAGAGGATCCGGGTAGTAAAACATCATTCGGTCTAAAGAATGGATCTTGAATCCCAGTCGGACTAGCCGGTCTGTGACCTCCTTTGCCCATGTGTAGGGAGCGTTACTGAGGCCGTACACGTTGCCAGTAATCTCATACAAGTCACTTGTGAAGACCTTGGCCCGCTCGATGATGGGATCACGAGGCGCTCTCAAATACAACTTTCCAGCTCTCTCCGAAAGATCTTGAGCCCCCTGAAGGAAAGCTGTTGCGGCGTCCCTGCCCACATCTTCCAAGTCCTGGTGGAACCAAAAGCCTTGCCACGCAAGCCGCTGATGAAGATCAAGTAGGTCAACATCTCTGAAATGCGACTTGGAGTGGCAGCTTGACGAGTTAGGGATTTCAGGTCAGGATCCTGATTCCCTCTGGCAACAATCCTTGTCTTGGCCTTTAAGGGAGGCACACCCTTATTCTTGTCTCTGTAGCAAGCGCGGCTGGTGATGACCCGCTTGCGACGTACAGGGTCTCGAAGGATCTCCTGTGCCTCTTGAGGTGGAACGGGTTTGAGAGACTTCCATTCCATGAAGCTTGCTTCCTCCTTCTGTGCCGACTTCACGAACTCTTCAATGTACTCCTCTGCTTGGGACAAAATGTCTCTGTAGTGGAGTTCCTTCTCGATGGCCTTCTTCTCCTGACGTGTGAGCTTTTTGGTGCCAAACTTGTAGTCATCTGCCTCAGTGTCTGAGTCACTTGGTCGGCTCAAAGCGTCGCCGACATTCTTTGCCAGCTCGAGAGCATAGACCTGGTAGTAGCGCTTGGATGGAGGCAGTGGGACATCGTCTGAGCCATCCCAACCTGGTTCGATCTCGTCCAGGGCATCGTCATAGGCTCTAAAGACCTGATTCTTGCGAGACGGCTTGGAGTACCAAAGCTCGGTGATGACATTCTTAGGACCATCGAAGTTGAAGTGCTCTTCATCTTCCTTCTCTGGGTCGAAAACGCCCTCGAAGATGATCTCATTGGAGTTCGCGTCTATGGTCCTCCTCCACTTCACGTAGGTATAGGAGGGCCAGTGGACATGGTCTGCTGGGGATGTGAAACAAGTAGGTCGAGCCTTGCCCAGCATTTCAATCGTGCAAAAGGTCGTGCAAAAGTGCTCTGGTAGTTGTAGAGCTCTTAAAGATGAATTGCCTGCCTTGCGAGCCATCACATCGGTCTTGAGTGCGTCGAAAGGCCTCTTGGCTGGAAGCACTGGAAGGGGCTCGTCAAGGTCTGGTGGTGTCTGTGGGATTATCTCTTGGAGATGTCCTCCGTCATTGTCATTGTCGCCTGTGAGGTCAACCACTTGTAACGCCGGTGCAGGATCAGGCATCTCACCTGAGCCTGCTGGTAGTCCTTGTGGAGGTGGGAGATCCGGCAGGTCCTGAGGTGTGAGCCACCGAGCCTCAGTGTTTGGCACCCTGTCCGTATCTCCCTGATGTGGTAATGAAGGTATCTGCTGTGTCAAATTGGATACGGCGTCTTCAACGGGTTTGACCTCAGGCGAAGTCATGGTTGCTTGTCTGGTGGTCTGAAGGCGCTTCTGACTAACAGGCGTCCTGGACCTCATTCGTCGGCTTGGCGTGAAAGGAGCTGGTGAGGCATGCTCCGGTCCGCCAAAGACATTCTGGGTCTGATTGATGTTCTGCTGCATGTTGATCACTGTCTGAGGGCTCTGAGGCTCATGCATGTCCTGCTGAGTAGCTTCTTTTGGTGGAGTTGCCGAAGACAAAGGCAAAACTAAAGGCTCTGCCTGAGGTGCTTGTGGATGTTCTGACTGTGGAACGTCCAATTGAGGAAAATCGGCGTCCTCAAATTCCAGGCTCTCATAGCCTGGAGGCCTGGAGGTGGCAACTCTGCATCAGGTGGAAGTACATCTTCCTCCCATAGATCATCTTGAAGATTCTTCTCGGCCTGCTTCAAGGCCTGAACATCAGCTCTGGACGGAATGTACTCCTCATAGCCGAAGACATCTCTGGCCTGATTCTTGGCCACTTTCACCGTGTTGTTTCCGGACTGGACCCAAAGATTGCCGTCCGGATCCTTTCCGAGATAGCGAGCAATGCGATACCCGCCTCTTTTGCGATGTGATCTCGTGGTCCATCGCCAATAAGCAAGCAGAGAGCCAGGTACTGGATCCTCTATTGGCTCTGTGTTTGTCTTTCTCAACAAAGCTCTCCGCAAAGTCGAAGATGCGGAAGCTTCTGCCAAGGCCTTCATGGCTTCACATCTCATCATGGCCGACTGCTGTTGAGCTTCTGCAGTCGTTGAACCGGCCACCAATGATCTTGGGTCATTGATGAAGTCAAGGCCGACTCGAGGAATCTTTCCGAAGGCTGCTATGTAGGGTGGTCGTCCCGACGTCCAAGTAGCAGCATTCTTGGCATGAAGGGCTGAAATGATTGCGTTGTCCAGCTCTTCTGTGGAAGCACAAGGTGTTGCGTCCACGATTCTTTCCAATAACATCCTCAGGGTGCCATTGTGGCGTTCGATAACGCCCAACTGATGGTGAGCCTCTGGTGGTATGAAGTCGACGAAGGCGCCGCCATCGTCGAAGAAGTCTTGACAATGAGACTTGACGGCGCCATCATCGTCCAAAGAGATGCGAAGTGGGAAGCCAAAGTTGCGAATCCATGCTGTCTTGAAGGCCTGGACGACATGTTCTGGCCTCCTGGAGTCCAAACGAATGGCAGCATGGTAGTGAGTGGCTTCACAAACTATGCCGAGTATGGCATGATTCACTGAGCGAATGTCCCTGGCATAGAAGATATCCGCCTGGAGATGGTCTGCAAATTGACCCAGGTACTTGGGTTTTGAAGCTGGATTGGGTTTCCCTGGAGGTTTTGATCTCTCGCAAGCTGAGCAAACCATAGCCTTTGTGGCCTTGATCACTTGATCACTTGTAATGCCGTTCAAGGCAAGCAGCTTGATGAGCTCTCCAAGTGATAGGTGTCCCATGTTCTTGTGCATCCTGGCGACAGCGGCTTT